AATGAAATATTGCGATATTTCAGTGTATCGATATTTTCTTACACCCCTAGTTGACAGAGAGGAGAAGGTAGAAATGACTCAGCCTGGAACTGAAAATATGGATGGAGGACAACAGAGCTGCTTCATGGAAGAACAACCTCAGATTAGACTGTTAGCTTTAGCTCCAATGCTATATTGCCTTATATGTATTAGCTCAGCGCTAGCGTGACAAACAAGCTAAACTTCGGACCTAGCCTCTCGTTTTGGACACAGCCATAGACAGGCACCAATACCCTTTCTGGCCACAGTTCCTGGAAACCACATCTGCTATGGAATTTTTCCATGTTCCAGACCTCCCATGAGACATTTGAAACATTTCCCCAGAGGTGAGAAGTGAAGACTTCTCAGACAGGAGCCTCTACCAGATTTTCAGAGTGCACCATAACTATTGTACTCAGAGTCCAAGTCACCAGGTGGTGATCAGCTGACAGCTCTGCCCCTSTCTCTTCACTTGAGATCCACAGCAGACTATAGGTCTGATGATACAAATATAAAGTCAGTCACCATCCTTTGGCAAAAGGTGGCCTGACAGCAAGTACACCTATAGATCACACTAAACTCAAACATGGTGTTTGTGATGGATAACTCTTWCCTAGAAACTGACTACAACTTTGGTTTAGATCAGGGAGGCCACTTCTCCCAAWCACTCTCCTTCCAGACCATTCCATCACTGACCACAGCACTATTAAAAGTCTGTGAATCACTCTAACCAAGCCTTCCACTAAGACTWGTTTACCATGAGAGAAAAGTCTTAAAAACACAAATGTTTCTCCACTCACAGCACAGTGAGTGAAGGTAACATCCTACCTGTCACACAGGGCCAGATCCTGGCTGTGACCAACTTTAACAAACATTAGCTTGGCACTAAACAGCAGCTGCTGCATGATGTCGGTCAGAAGGCAGGCGTCCACCTCTGGGTTGGTCAGCTTTCTGGACAGGGAGCGGCAGTGCTCAATGAGCTGGTGACCACAGGCAGCCTGGTCACCGTGCAGAGACAAAATGGCCACACACAGATGTGCACTGGGAGCCTAGAGGTGTCAGCAAACAAAAATAATTATATTTAAATACTGGGTAACAAAGACTAAAACACAGCTCARTCAGAGGTTAGAGGATCCTGATTATATTCTGTGATGCTACCAGGGGTTTTATCCTCTTGAGTACCCAGGCTTTTCCTTTTTCAATTCCCCTACCTATTTAGGAATAGAACCTCAAATGTAAAAAGAAACACTGTTTTTGTTTAACAATTAAGAGTTAAAAACATTAATTTATATTTTATTTAAAATAAAACATTAATTAAATTAAAATGTATCTCCTCTGAATAAGGACAATCAGACCAGTCTAAAACAATGTTCTCAAATAAAGATGGAGGTTCTCAGGAGGTTATATTC